TATCTAGTAGATCTTCCCTTCGCTTCGTAGAGTTTGTTGATCCTTTGGGGAATCGTGAGAATCATCTCGTCAATTTTAGATTGTGGGATTTTCACCCACTCTTGCTTCAAAACTGGAGTAGATCGCTCTTCGAAGTTGGTTTTTTTGGTTGTTTCTTGACTTGCTGGTCGAGTATGGCCCAGAGGTTTTCGATGGGATTCATGTCAGGAGATTGGCTTGGCCAGGGCAACTTCTGGATACCATTTTCTTCCTGCCACTTTTGGGTGTTTCTAGCAGTGTGACACGGTGCTCCATCTTTCTGGAACAACGTTGCGTTCTTGTCCACGAAACCCGAAGAATAAAGTGGCAAGAGTCCTTCCTCCAATATTTCGACGTATTTCGCAAAATTTATGTCGCCAACGCACTCTACTAAGCTCGATCTCCCACCAACCCAAACAGCTCCCCAAACCATCACGCTGAAACCACCATGCTTCACAGTTGGCTGCAATCTATTGAGCCAAAACTCTTTGTGAGGCATTCTCCAGACCCATATCCTTCCACTCTCCGAAAATTGAGCGAATCTTGATTCGACTGAGAACAATACAGTCTTACAAAAGTCCAGAGGCTTGGTCATTTGCCCACTTCTTTCGTCTGACTATGTTGGTAGGTCTTAATAAGGGCTTCCGTCTAGCTGCTCTGCAACGATAATCCAATCTGTGGAGAATCCGTTGAACAGATTTCGGGCTCATCCCACCAATTTTGGCCACTTCTGCAGTCGTTAATCTGGGATCCATTTCGATGCTCCTTTTGACAGCCCTTTTTGTCCTCTCCGATGGATCCGGACACTGCTCAGTTGTTTCCTTGCAGTGTTTACTGAACTGCACGATGATTCTGTTGACTGTCGAAAGAGGGATTTCCAAATTCTGCGAAATTTGCCGTTGACTTATTCCACCATCTGCTTGACCAACTATCCTTCCTCTAACAAAATCTGACAATTCGACAGAACCTTGTGTTCTTGGTATGTTGTAGCACAAGATAATTAGTGTGAGGACCATTTTCATTTATATTGTGCTCTGTGAACACAAATTAGTTAGCATAAATCAGTTAAATGACGAAAAATTAGTTGCCTATTTACTTGTGACCACTCAGTGTACACCTTTGTGTATAGTTTTCTTATATATATATTTTTTTACCTCAGTGTTTCAGGTACCTATTATCTTTATATAATTAAAACGCTAAATTTGGTTTGAATTTCGCGTAAAGCTACATGAGGGCTAATTTAGCAGTGAAAGACTAGAGGGAAGGCAACTATTCATTATCACCCACCGCCAACACTTGGGCTATTCTTTTACCAACGAATAGTGGGATTGACCGTGAGATTATAACGTCCACACGGCTGAAAAGGCGAGTATATTTGGTGGGACGAGTATTCGAACACACGACCCTCAGATTGCGAGTCAAGCACTCTAATCACCTGGCCTACAACCCTAAAATTTTTAATTATACATTTCTTGCGTTCTTGTAAATTGTTTTTCTTTATTTATAAGTTATTTTATATGTTATGAACTCTGCATAAACTTTAGAAGAAGATAATGAATTTTATTTATAAATATTTTTCCAGACATCCAATTTCTAAGCGAACATTGTTGATAGTTTATGCTGGAAGTTTTTGTCATCTGTTTGAATGTATTTTCTTATATATATATATAATTTGTTTTTCTTTTTCAATTAAAATTCAAAGATAGCAGACACATTTTCTTTATTGTTGAAGTTATTATACACTGCTTGATGTTTTGCTTACATTAAATGTTATATGCTTTAATCATGAATGCAGTTTGTAATAGGCTTCCCAGTGACACAGCGGTAACACTGAAAGCTTACAACGTTAAAAACTACGTTTCAATACCAGGGGTATACTATGGATAGCCCATTATGTAGCTTTGGGCTTAACTATAAACAAACAGTTTGTAATCTGTGTATTTTTTGTTTTTTTTTTACATTCCGGAGAAGCTTGTTCAGAAGACCACGATAATTTCCAAAATATTCAAGTATAATTGTATCTGCTTGAAAAAAAATCAACAGAAAACTAAGGTAGTACTCACAACTGAATTGTTATAATTAATTTGTGGTTGCTTGAGTGGCTTGGATGTTTTCATTAAAAAGCCTAGCAAATTGTACCCACGTTATCACCTAGTTATTTTCGTTCTGAAACAAATGGATTATAAAAATGTTATACTATGACATAGAATAAATTAAAAGCATTTTATTATTTCTGTTGAAGGTACATAAAACTAAAACACTATCTACATATCTCTCCATCTATATATATGTATATATATCAATCTGTTGACCGTAGCAAATGATATATATATTAATCTGTTGACTGTAGCAAATGATTTAGTGTTTAATAAATTTAATTTTTGCATGAGCATTTCTGACTGAAGTAAAGAATTCACATATCTATAAGTTTCTGAGGAAATTGTCAAACTGGATATTAACAACCTATTTACTGACACACCAGAGAAAATTAGGTTTAGAAAACAAAAGTTTAAGCCTATCATACGTTTCGACACAATTTAGCGTCTTCCTCGGTAGCTTTCCAGCCTTTTTAAAATCATCTTCAGTATTTAAAAAAAAGTGTTGGACTAAATATGTGTAAAGTTTCTTGTATGTCGAAAAATATTTTTTATCATCAGATTATCTTCTTTTAATATTTTTTTATGTTGGAGATATCTTTTCTTGAAAGCTTTTCCGAAAAAAATCGTGGGTTTGCTTATTATGATCGTTCTCTTATGTTTTTCTAATGATATAGAGAACTTTTGTTATATATTTCTCCAATCTAAATTAAAATACACATTACACATGTATATAATGTGTAATGAGAATAAGATAATGGATATATTGTTCCACGTCTTTATTATTGTACAGTTTATTTTCATCGCATTCATTCAGTAATTATGTCTAGCTTTACCACACATCTTTTCTTTACTTGCACGCTTATTTGACTTTTCATTTCATTCTACAGGATGAATTCCATCCATTTATTGAGGCTTTGCTGCCTCATGTGAAGGCCTTTTCCTACACATGGTTTAATCTGCAAGCCGCTAAACGCAAATACTTCAAAAAACATGAAAAACGAATGTCGACGGAAGAAGAAAAGAGGTGTAAGGAAGAGCTCCAGGTAAATATATAGTTTTATGTGATATAGGAGGAAATTATATAGTTTGAAATAAGAGGCAGAAAGAGAATGTTTAAGATTCCATTACTTTTGACACAAGCGTAAGACTTTGACGAATTACGACTTTTGGTACACAAGAGATGGTTTGAGAAGTTAGTAATATTATCTATAATACACATTGACAAACATGTATAAAATTCTATTGATTAATACTTCAAACAGACCGGGAATGATTTTCATAATCCAACAATTTTGGTAAAACTAAGACCTAACCGATACAAATAAACTTGTAGGTTATATTATAAGGCATGTTTTCTAAGCATTTGACAATGGATTTGTTGTGACTGACCAGCTAAAAATTCGGTTATTCTTCAGAAAATTCTAACAAAATTAAACAAAACAATTTTCACAAACATTTGAAGTTGTAAAACAAGACATCAGGGCTGTTGTATCTTCTGTTCTTGAGCGCTTTCCTTTTGAGCAGAATTACAAGGTCCATATGATACCATTTGGTGGGTAAAGACATTTTTGTTAATTGATTCATGCATATTCTTATTTTTCAATCACATCTTTTTGAAACAGGAACAAACAATTTAATAATCGTTAAACAATAAAATAAAAGCTGTTTAAAAGATGGGATTTTGAGCATTCTATTTAATGAAAGACAGCTAATTTGATTTAATACAATATACGATAGTACGATATAAAATCAAAAGTAATGAGTAACGATTGATTCCTCACAGGGTTGAATTAATGATACAGTTCAAACATTAAATAGTTATTCATTTATATTCTCTTACGTTTTATTTTGATCCGATAATGCTAAGATAATTATAGGTAAACACATGATATTATTTTATATAAATTCCCTGAAACTATTTTTTAAAAATCCACTTACCCGTTCATCTTTCAATGATGCTCAAGTATTCTCCAATTTTCTTTTTTTATTGTATAACTTATCCACAACATCTTGTAAAAACATCCATCTTCTTTGTTAGGCCCGGCATGGCCAGGTGGTTAGGGTGCTCGATTCGCAATCTGCGGGTCGCGGGTTCGAATCTCCGTCAAACCAAACATGCTCACCCTTTCAACCGTGGGGCGTTATAATGTGACGGTCAATCCCACTATTCGTTGGCTGTGGGTGGTGACTAGCTGCCTTCCCTCTAGTCTTACACTGCTAAATTAAGGAAGGCTAGCGCAGATAGCCCTCGTGTAGCTTTGCGCGAAATTCAAACAAACAATTTTTTTTTGTTGGTTAACGACACGATAGACAATAATTACAAAAAGTAAAAACTTTCGTCTTCTGACATTCTGCAGCAACTTTCATTTCTCTTACAGAACATATTTTATAAATTTAAGTTTTATAGTGGAATAAAACAAAAAAAGGTCATAATTTCTATCAGGTACCAACATGGTGGAATGAAACATAAAATTCCTTAGTAACTTTCGTTTTTCATTCAATTAACATCGGATAGGTTTAATATCAGAAAGATGTTTGATAAAAACGCTTCCTTTGATGAGCTAAGTATTTAATATAAGTATAAGTATTTATTATTTATATATATATATATATAAGTATTTATTTAATATAAAAAATCATTTGTTTTCATATTACTTTACAAATTTTCGGCTGTTTCTGATAAATTATGTATTGTGACAGACAATGGAACAGTCGGCATAAATCTACTACTTCCTCTTGATTAGTCTCAAGCTGCCAATAAAAAGACATTTTTAGATATGAGCTGATCAAACATGAAATATCATTAAAATCATAAATAATATTCAACGTTAAACTGGTACACACTTGAAAAAAAAATATTTAGGCCTATCTATGGCCTTCAAAAAGTTGACGGCTCTACATGTTTCGACGTTACAACATCTTCCTCAGTTGTAAAGTTGAAAATTTAAATGACGTCTTCTTTTT